TAGCATGAATTTAATGATCAAAACTCCATTCAAATGATGTAATAAGAGTGGATAATAATATAAATACTATTCCTTAAATTATAGTCCACGTTATGAATTATGTGTGCTATTTAGTGTCATTAAAAGTAAATTCCTTTCATGGAGAACGTAATTAAAAAACAGAACAGAACTTCAACAGGAGACAGAACTGTCTAGACTGTTGACTGCTGTTTTAAGGATATTTCACTACATTTTTTCTTTCTTGGAATTCATAAGAGCATTTTCTCAAAAGATTAATCTTTTATTACTTATACAAAGCTTACACCATTGAATTGACTATTGTGACTATTCTTAAATAAGTGAAAATAATTTTTCTTTTTTTTTAAACTAATATTTTTACTGTTAATAAAAAAACAGCAGATTCTTGATATTGATTTGATATTTTAGTAAAATTAATTCATGAAGTTTGGAAAGAAAATCAGCATTTGAAGCAAATAGCAATACAGTATTTCCAGCTTTTTTAATAAATTTATTCTTAAATACAAAAATAATTAAACAGGAAAAAAATTATAGTAATAAATTAAAAAAAATTATAGACAGAAAGAAAGTAATAATAATAATTTACACAGAAGAAATAATAAAATTTTTGCAAGCATACATTTTTTAAAGAATTTTCATTCATAATAACATGAAAAATAAATGATGGGATTGATCATCTACAGGATCACACACAGCGTGCATAATCCTGAGCTTAACTTTCGCTTTACGAGTTTCATCCATATTTTTATTTCGTACTCTTTATTTCGTTCAGATACGATTACAACTCATTATTTTATTCAAATACGATTACAACTCATTCGGATACGATGTGTTCTATATTTAAAAAAAACTTCGCCTTCGGTGCGCAAATCTCAAGAAGCTGCTTCCTTTTAGCTCACTCTGATTGTCGACGCTATCCCAACTCGCGTAGTGAAACTCCCTAGGTGAGCTGACCCTTGATGGTTGCCTGCAGACCGCTTAACCATTGCCCTGTTAACGGGCTTAAGTGTGGAGACGCTCATCAATCGTTTTTATGTAAAAAAGACAAGAATACTCCCCCTACGTGTGCGAATTGTAAGATGACTGGACACACTGCGAACTTTCGTGGTTGTGAAAAGTTTCCAAAGCCTAAAGCTCAGGTTCAGCCATCATTTTATGCAGATCGAGTAATTAGTAACAAATCCTACTCGCAAGCCTTAGCCAGTGGACTTGCCCCTGAAGCGGTAAGCGAAGCTAAAACCATTCTACATGAACTTAAAAGCTTTGTCGCAATTATTCAAAATTCTGGACTTCCCCTGCTCTTCAAGCAACTAACCCAAGAAAAAAAACGCTCTACCTCAAGAAAATGTGATCTCAGATAATGGGCCAACACACTAATAAGGCAAATTTAATCCGCTTCATGGTGTGGAATTCAAATAGTCTCCGCAATAAAATCTCAGAACTGCAAGAATTTCTGTACGAGCACGATATTGACTTCGCGCTCATTACTGAGACACATGCTCAAAGATGTTACAGTCTGAATATCTCCAACTACAGAATCTATCGCTGTGATAGAACTAGCCATCGAGGCGGAGGTGTCGCCATCTATGTGAAGAGAAATTTACCATCTTGCCTAGTTAAAGAGTGTAAAGACTTTGGTTGCGAGCTGATTACAGTGTGCATTACCCTTCCGGTGTACAAAAATATTTATTTCAGTGCTTTTTATAATCCACCGCATAATGTGTTAACTTATAACCTACTAGACTCAATCCTTCCTCCTGATACTCCTACGATCCTGGCAGGAGACCTAAATGCCAAGAGCATCGCATGGAATTGCCGTAAAGGAAATACAAACGGTAAAACTCTACAAAATTACATTTTAAGCCATCCTGTTGTTATTTACACACCGGACGAATACACTTATCGCCCGGACAGAATAGAATATTCCGACATTCTGGATATTGTTTTGTCCACCACAACTATCCCTATCACGCTTGAAGTATTGCACGAACTATCCTCGGATCACTTACCGATCATTGCTACTTTAGGAGTGAACAAAAGTAATACTGCTTCCACTAGGAAAATTACTGACTGGCAGCGCTATGAACTCTTCATGAAAGACAGTGTTCTTGATGTCAGAAATTTGATCTGTGTTGATAACATCGACTCTGCAGTATCCTCATTTACCTCAAAAATTCAAAGGGCTATTGAAAATGCTAGTGATACAGTTGTAAATACAAACACGCTCTTCCGACTGCCGCCTAAAATACGTCAAATGATGAGGCATAGAAATCGCCTCAGAAAAATTTACAACCTTACCTGGGATCCTGTCGCCAAAAGGGCGATAAATCGCCTAAACCGGGACATCAAAACTGCTGTGAAGCAACACAAGGACGAACTCTGGTGTGAAAAAATGTGCAACTTAGATTTCCGTGACGGATCTCTTTGGACTTTAATAAAAAACCTCAAAGCAAATTTTGTTACCAATCGTCCCATCTTCCATAACGGAGTTGTTGCCCTTTCAAATGAAGATAAAGCAAATGTTTTCGCCTCGCATTTGGAACTACAATTTACGCCAAATGATTGGCCTGTGGACAGAAACTTTGAACTTTTCACCCTTACTCATGTGAAAGATTGGCTAAATGCCCCCACAGCACGAAATATTCCCAAATTTGCTACCCCTGTAGAAGTGTCTCAAATTATTAAAAAACTCAAATCACGCAAAGCTCCCGGAAATGATGGCATTTCTAATACTGCAGTTAAAATGTTACCTCCCTGTGCAGTAGCGAATTTCACTAGCATTTTAAATGCGTGTTTATTTAACTCCTACTTTCCACAGCAGTGGAAAAGTGCAAAAATTATTTTAATTCCTAAACCTGGAAAGGACCACACGAAACCAGATGGCTATCGACCTATTAGTCTCCTGCCTGTGCTCGGAAAAATTTATGAGCGCATTATTCTCTCACGTATGCAATCCTATCTAAACATGTTGCCTCCGGAACAATTTGGTTTCCGCCAGCACCTTTCTACTACGAAGCAGTTGTTACGCATTACTGACTTTTGTGGCTCTGCTTTGCATAACAAACAAAGTGTTGCTCTCCTCATGTTGGACGTGGCGAAAGCCTTCGACCGCGTCTGGCATGAGGGGCTCATATCCAAATTAATTACTGCTAACGTGGACCGAGAAATGATCTTGACAATTCACTCCTTCATTACAAACCGGACTTTTTGTGTTTGTGTGAACGGTGCTATCTCCTCGTCTAGAAATATCCATAGCGGTATTCCGCAAGGGTCAGTTCTAGGACCTTATATGTATCTATTTTATGCTGCTGACTTTCCTCAAGCATCTCAAAATAACGCTATTTTGGCCTGTTATGCAGACGACACTGCCCTGGCAGTAAAGTCTGTTAATATGAATCACGCCATCAAAAAACTACAAGATGTCATTCCTAGCATTGAACGATGGTGCGCGCAATGGAAAGTCCAAATAAACGCAGCCAAATCTCAACTTCTCCTCATACGCAGAAATAAAAGGAACACACCTGTCAAAAGAGGACTTTATCTATTTAACGAAATTGTTCCAATTGTTCCCCATGCCAAGTACCTCGGAGTGATTATAAATGATCGCTTAACGTGGACTAACCATATAAATTACGTCAGGGATAAGGCCTTACAAATTATCAAATGTCTCTTCCCAATTATTGGTAAATACTCCACTCTCGACCTGGGAAAAAAGCGGCTCATCTACACGTCTGCGATCAGACCGATCATGACTTACGCCTCCCCAGCGTGGGCCGCCCTGACCAAAACTGACCTCAATAAATTATGTGTTGTGCAGAACCGCTATCTCAGGATTATTACGAATGCTCATTATTTCGTGACAAATAAGTGTCTACAAGATGACCTCAAGATCGACCCCTTAGATAAGTTCATCGCAAAGCAAAATCGGAATTTCTTCAGAGAAGCCCAGGACTGCAATCATATGCGTCAATTTAACCTCTTTGAATATGAAATATTGCACGAAGACAGGCACCTTAGACCATTTACTGCATTTATCCTCAATGAAAATCAGAACTTTCCAACCTAAGTTTTTACCCTGTGTTTACTTGGAAAACTGAAATGCTTAAAGTTAAGCAGCCACTATCGGGGTCAAGGCACGGGAGGGTGACCTCCCACGGGACTACGAACTAAAGTCTTCTACTGCTTACTGTAGATCTCTCACTGCTCCTATTGGTTTCAAATTTCTTTTATTTTATTTAATTTAACTTTTAGTTTACTGGAAAGTATGTTTTTATGTCTCTGCAATTGAATATTTTGTAAATAGCAAATTCTCATGATTTTCGCATACACGTCTCAACAGCCAATCAAAAGACCTCTACTAAGAGATATCTTTGACTGCTTCTGCTGGACTCCCTGCGGAATTTTTTTACTTTTGTATATAGTCTTTCTAGTTGTGAGAAAAATGCACTTTGATGAGTTTATGCACTGAATATTTGTAAAAATGCACACTGTACCTGAAACTCGGACCAGCATCTCTCCAGCCTACCAGACACCGCTATAGCCTCACGTGACAAAGTAGTCACACCTTCTTTCATTTTGCATCCTGTCCTCCGGACACACTCAAGCATTTGCTATACCTGCAATGTACTTTTTAATTCATGACAGCCGGTATACAGCTTGCTATCAGCAAGCTACACACGGCAATAGTGGGAAAAGGAAAGGAAAAATCCTTTTCCTATTCCACTTTTTATCGCCTCATTTTTTTATTATGAATTAAATTGGCCGCCATTTTTTTATTGAAAAACGTTTTATTTCCAAACCGGTTTATAAGTTTTCAATATTCTTAAAAAATGAAATTATATCATACTTTGCAATCAATAATATAAAAACAACTTAAAATTTTTATAATTAGGTAGGTAAAAATACTTATGAGAAACAAATTTTTCGTCTCATTACTCCAGTTAACTCTAATTAGTCAAAAGATTATATTAAAACAAACTTACCTAAAATGCTAGGAACTTTTTCTATGGAATTTTTCTGAAGCCTAAGTGTAACTTAACACAGCTGGACAAAGCACTTACATCTCAAACAAATTAGGAATCACTAAGATCTTCTAATATTAACTATACATCTTTCATACTTGTCTCCTCCCTAAGCGAGCAATGCAATCCAGAAAATAGGAACTGAAAGAACAAAGAAGTTTGAAAAAGTTTTAATGGTTGATTGAAATCAAAATACAAATTTATAAAGCCCCTTCTCCCAAAAAAATTCAGCAGGTTAAATAAAACTTATGTAAATTAATATGATAAAACTTGAATTGCTACAGTTTTATATTTTAGATACATAGCACAGAGCAATCTTGGATTATAAATGTCTTCCATTATCATCAAATTGGTTCCTAAAACAAAATTATGTGAAATATTTTGGGTAAAAAGCAGTGTCTCAAAACATAAAAATTCAGAATGGTGACAAATGATTTTTAGAGGTGTTCTAAGGTAACCTCTACAGAATTAAGTATTAAACGTTTGGGGGAACAGCATTTTAATATCTGCTGATGTGTCATTTTCTTTAACAAAACTTGGCAGTGACATATAAGGATCATGAAATCACCCTAGAGGAAATTATGGCCAGATTATATTGTGAGCACAGGATTCGAGTGCTTTAACACAGCCAGCAATTATTTGTTCATTATGACTTTGGTTTCAAACCGGCAGCCCCTGAAGTAATTTCATGCAGCCTGCGAAGACATTTTGGTTGATCTTTGGATTATGGTAACTTGGCGATTTTTTGGTGACCAACTCTGCTACAGCAACCCTCTGTTTTTTTTTTTTTTTCCACCGCCAATTTGTCTTCATGAAGTAAAGACATGTTTCGTTTCTTTTTATTTACTGAACACTTTTTCCAACAATCTACTAGCCAAATTACACTTAAACTAGAAATTTTATCTAACAAAACTGCTTAATCATGACAAATATTCACTGCAAAATTGGGAAAAAGTGCACAATACCATACTCCTTACACGTTTTTCAAAATAACACATACACATAAACCATGTACACGCCGACTTATTTTTACTTAAAAAAACATCCCAGAATTGCACAAAAATGGCATTGCGCACACTCTTCACTATATCCATGTACACTGCTTTTTTCTCATAAATTAGAAAAAATTCACGAAAATGCATGACAATTTTCTGAATCTTTAAACCTGGTAAAAAGAACATATATGAAATTACCTTATCACAAAAAAGTATATACCCTTTCCGGCTGATCTTTAGAATATGGTAACTGGTAGTTTGGCGACATTTTGGAGGCGATAAAGGTTACTACCTGGGACTTTGGTAATAATGTGAGCAGTACTCAGTTCCGATTAAGCATTATTTTGTGTGAGGGAAATGAGTGATCATGGGATATGTCATGTGATATTAATGGACGAATTACGGTTCTTTAATCGGAAAAGGGGGGAAATCGGGAAAAAATCTGGAAATTTTGTATTTGGCTTTATTCTGTGTTGTGTGAAACAGTGTTCGTTAATTTTTGGATCCCATGGCTCTAACTAAAGTGAATTCGAAATGGGTATTTAGTGGGATTCAAAGGGGTAGTAATAAATGTTTCTTTAAGGTTGTGCGAGATAGAAGGAAAGATGTTTTATTAAGTTATTTATTTTACCTGGTACCTTGCTGTGAACTATAAGTATGATTTTAAAGATCCTGAAACAGGCGCACATACGCTTGCTTTTTATTTAGCGGAGGAAATAAGAAAAGTTTATCGGACACGTAATCAAGATTCTGAAGAAGATTAGGTAAGTTACTATTTTTAATTATTTGAGGATATTATTTTTATGCATTGTTCTAAATGTAAGGTGGAAGTAAAGTAATTTGGTATTATTGGGAAAATTGTTATTAGCAATGATTTAGTTTAAAGTAATTAGGATTGTAAGCTAATTTTTATTAATTTAATGTATGTGCTTATTTATATTTTAAGTAGTATTTTTGAATTTAATTATATTTTAATTAAATGATAGTTATTTTGGGAATTTTATGTTTGTAGGAATTTGGTATACGTTTTAGTTGAAGTAAACGTGCATGGAAATAATTTAAATTTTTGACACTAAGTATTTGTAATGTTTGCGGTATGAATTCGTTGGTGACGTTTATAATATAATAGATAATTTAGAGGTAAAAGTTTTTGGATATTTTATTTATTTTATACGTGGAAATGTTCATATTTGGAAAGGGTATATAATTTTTCGTTATTAGGCAATTTCATATATGTTCTTTTTAACGGGTTTAAAGATTCAGAAAATTGTCATGCATTTTCGTGAAATTTTTCTAATTTATGAGAAAAAAGGAGTGTACATGGATATGGTGAAGAGTGTGCGCAATGCCATTTTTGTGCAATTCTGGGATTTTTTTTTAAAGTAAAAACAAGTCGATGTGTACATGGTTTAGTGATATTTTAATTAAATGATAGTTATTTTGTGAATTTTATGTTTGTAGGAATTTGGTATACGTTTTAGTTGAAGTAAACATGCATGGAAATAATTTAAATATTTGACACTAAGTATTTGTAATGCTTGCGGTATGAATTCATTGGTGACGTTTACAATATAATAGATGATTTAGAGGTAAAAGTTTTTGGATACTTTATTTATTTTATATGTGAAATGTTCATATTTAAAAAGGGTATATACTTTTTCGCGATCAGGTAATTTCATATACAGTGAAAAGTCGTTAATTCCGACACCCATAATCGGGAATGATCTATAATCCGGACTTCAAAGCTACAAACTTTCTGCGCATGCGTCACGTTCACGCATGGGCACAGACGTTTACGAGAGCGCGTAAGACCTTTACGGCTGCTAATATGTTTGTGCGCATGTGCATTTAATGTGTAACGGAGGTATAAGCAGAGCTAAAATTATCTAATTCAGTTAATGTTGCAGATTGCATTGTTCCTTAATCTTCCAATTGGATCTGACTTATTATGTTTTGCACACTGTTAGAGCAATTTCATAAAAGTAAGTTTGAACTTTCGATTATGTCAAATAGAATTTCCGATATATATTTACTAATATGTAATTTGTATCTACAAAGCGAAGGTATGTTTTGAAATCCAAAATCTGTTTATCAATTTCACGCGGAGGATTGGAAGTTGATCTGTCAGCACTATCCTTATCTTCAGGGCAGATGTTTTATTTTATTGGTTATAATTCCTTACTAAGTGTAGTATTTTATCTCGATGTACTCCATCTTTGATATGATTTAAATCAAGTTCCTCCTCATTATAATTCGGCTTCCGATAGTGAAGAAACTGACCCAGAGTTATTGAAAACGAAACATTTCGATTGACAAGTAAGTCGGTATTCTTCGGCACCAGTAATTACGGGACTTGAACAGCGGAACTTTGTAACTGAACAAGAAATTATTGTCTGTTATTATAGAATTAAAGAGAAAGTATTATCACAGAAAACGAAGCAACTTAAACAACTTACATTGAAAGAAATGTTAAATAAAGTAAACAAAATATTAAGGGTTTTTTTTTTTTTTTGTAAATTTTGATACCCTTTAGATCATAATTATTCTTTGTTTCATAAATTATGGTTTCATATTTTTAATTTTATAATTGCTGCATGCCATTTTAACAGATTTAAACTGATGATCTATAATCCGGAAAAATCAATAATCCGGAATCGCCGAAGTCCCGACGAGTCCGGATTAACGACTTTTGACTGTATGTTTTTTTTACCGGGTTTAAAGATTCAGAAAATTGTCATGTATTTTCGTGAAATTTTTCTAATTTATGAGAAAAAAGCAGTGTACATGGATATAGTGAAGAGTATGCACAATGCCATTTTGTGTAATTCTGGGATTTTTTTTAAGTAAAAATAAGTCGACGTGTACGTGGTTTATGTGTATGTGTTATTTTGAAAAACGCGTAAGGAGTATGGTATTGTGCACTTTTTCCCAATTTTACAGTGAATATTTGTCATGATTAAGCAGTTTTGTTAGATAAAATTTCTAGCATAAGTGTAATTCAGCTAATAGATTGTTGGAAGAAGTGTTCAGTAGATAAAAAGAAACATGTCTTTACTTCGTGAAGACAAAATGGCGGCGGGAAAAAAAATAGACGGTTGCTGTAGTAGAATTGGTCGCCAAATTTTCGCCAAAAATTCGCCAAGTTACCATAATCTAAAGATCAACCCCCTTTCCAAATATGAACATTTCCACGTATAAAATAAATAAAATATCTAAAAACTTTTACCTCTAAATTATCTATTATATTATAAACGTCACGAAAGAATTCATACCACAAACATTACAAATACTTAGTGTCAAATATTTAAATTATTTCCATGCACGTTTACTTCAACTAAAACGTATACCAAATTCCAACAAACATAAAATTCACAAAATAACTATCATTTAATTAAAATATCACTAAACCATGTATACGTCGACTTATTTTTACTTAGAAAAACATCCCAGAATTGCACAAAAATGGCATTGTGCACACTCTTCACTATATCCATGTACACGGCTTTTTTCTCATAAATTCGAAGAATTTCACGAAAATGCATGACAATTTTCTGAATCTTTAAACCCGGTAAAAGGAACATATATGAAATTACCTTATCGCGAAAAAGTATATACCCTTTCCAAATACGAACATTTCCACGTATAAAATAAATAAAATATCTAAAAACTTTTACCTCTAAATTATCTATTATATTATAAACGTCACGAACGAATTCATACCGCAAACATTACAAATACTTAGTGTCAAATATTTAAATTATTTCCATGCACGTTTACTTCAACTAAAACATATACCAAATTCCTACAAACATAAAATTCACAAAATAACTATCATTTAATTAAAATATCACTAAACCATATACACGTCGACTTATTTTTACTTAAAAAAAAACCCAGAATTGCTCAAAAATGGCATTGCGCACACTCTTCACTTCCATGTACACTGCTTTTTTCTCATAAATTAGAAAAATTTCACGAAAATGCATGAAAATACTGAACGTATACTACTCAAGCATATTCCAAAATACTACAAACATATAACTCAATTAAAATATAAATAAATTAAAAAACACTACTTAAAATATAAATAAGCACATACATTAAATTAATAAAAATTAGATTACAATCCTAGTTACTTTAAACTAAATCATTGCTAATAACAATTTTCCCAATAATACCAAATTACTTTACTTCCACCTTACATTTAGAACAATGCATAAAAATAATATCCTCAAATAATTAAAAATACTAACTTACCTAATCTTCTTCAGATTCTTCATTACGTCGCTGCAGTACTACTGCTAATTTCTAAATCCTAAATCCAGTAGTCAACTGGAAGTCTATTCACCAAGTAATAAGAAATTAATAAAATTTCACCTAAACTCAAACTACTTTCAGCAAACCACGTACCCTTCCTTACACTCCTTTCACAAAATGTCCATTTTAACCATATTTCTTGCACGGCCATTTAAACTTCTAATATCCTTCCTTTCACACAATCTCAACTTATTATTATTAGATAAATACATTAAAAATTTAGAATTCACTTTACATAGCACCATGCAATCCGAAAATTAATCAACACTATTTCACACAACACACAATGAAGCTTTTCCAAATTAACCCCCTTTTCCGATTAAAGAACTGTAATTAATGTCACGTTTCACACAACACAGAATATAGCTAAATATGAAATTTCCCCCCTTTTCCGATTAAACAACTGTAATTCGTCCATTAATGTCACATGACATATCTCATGATCTCTCATTTCCCTCACACAAAATCATGCGTAATCGGAACTGAGTGCTTCTCACATTATTCACATTATTACCAAAGTCCTAGGTATTTATCGCCTCCAAAATGTCGCCAAACTACCAGTTACCATATTCCAAAGATCAGCCGACATGGTAATTATGTATTTGTTGCAAAGATTTCCAGATTTTAGTTATTAGATATTCAAATTTAAATTATTTTCATTTCCATTTAAAATGAAGGCTAATCTTTGGAATATGGTATTAGGTAGTTTGGCGACATTTTGGTAAGGTGATATAGTTAGGACTTTAGCAGTGTACATGGATAAAGTCAAGAGTGTGCGCAATGCCATTTTTGTGCAATTCTGGGATTTTTTTTAAGTGAAAATAGGTCGACGTGTACATGGATGATACCGTGTATGAGCAATTCTTAAAAACGTGGCAAGCAGTGGGCGATTCTGCACTTTTTCCCAATTTCGCACCTAATCTTCGTCATGATTAAGCACTTTTGTTCCATAAAAGTTCTAGCATAAGCGTAATTCGGCTAGCAGATTGTTGGAAAAAAATGTTCGAGTTAAAAAAAAAAAAAAAAATGCCTTTACTTCGTAAAAAAAAATGGCATAAAAAAAAAAAAAAAAAAAAAAAAAAAAAAAACTAGCAGGTTGCTGTAGCAGGGTTGGTCGCTAAATTTTCGTCAAAAAATCGCCAAGTTACCATAATGCGAAGATTAACCAAAATGGGCATGAATAACATATCAGAAAAATCTATAAATGAAGCTTATTAATTTCTTATGCAATATAGCTCTTAGTCACAGATTTGAAGATATGAATTTGATTTGTGCTCAAAAAAAGATAAATAAGCCGAGTTTTTAATATTTGCACTAAGGATAATCACTTTGGGAACACATTTATATGTGATCAGCTTTTTTTCATAGTTGAAAACTAATAAGAAAAGAACATGATTGACTGATGAGTACTCATAATCCATGATAAGATAATTTTTACAAGCAAAGTTGCAAAACAAAATGAAGTTTATTATTATTTCCATAAAAACATAAGTATTTTTATGGTTGATCTTTAAAATATGGTAACTGGTAGTTTGGCGACATTTTGGAGGCGATAAAGGTTACTACCTGGGACTTTGGTAATAATGTGAGCAGTACTCAGTTCCGATTACGCATTATTTTGCGTGAGGGAAATGAGAGATCATGGGATATGTCATGTGATATTAATGGACAAATTACGGTTCTTTAATCGGAAAAGGGGGGAAATCGGGAAAAAATGTGGAAATTTTGTATTTAGCTTTATTCTGTGTTGTATGAAACAGTGTTGTTTAATTTTTGGATCCCATGGCCCTAACTAAAGTGAATTCGAAATGGGTATTTAGGCATTGTGATAAAGAGAAGTTTGCTTTTTATTTAGCGGAGGAAGTATGGAAGAAAAATTCGCAGAAAAAATCTTTCAATAATTTTATTGAATGACTTAGAAAAGTGTATCCGCCACGTAATCAAGATTCTGAAGAAGATTAGGTAAGTTAGTATTTTTAATTATTTGAGGATATTATTTTTATGCATTGTTCTAAATGTAAGGTGGAAAGGAATTTGGTATTATTGGGAAGGATTGTTATTAGCAATGATTTAGTTTAAATTAGGATTGTAAGGTAATTTTTATTAATTTAATGTATGTGCTCATTTATATTTTAAGTAGTGTTTTTGAATTTAATTATATTTTAATGAAATGATAGTTATTTTGTGAATTTTATGTTTGTAGGAATTTGGTATACGTTTTAGTTGAAGTAAATGTGCGTGGAAATAATTTAAATATCTGACACTAAGCATTTGTAATGGTTGCGGTACGAATTCGTTGGTGACGTTTATAATATAATAGATGATTTAGAGGTAAAAGTTTTTGGATATTTTATTTTATATGTGGAAATGTTCATATTTGGAAAGGGTAAATACTTTTTCGCGATCAGGTAATTTCATATATGTTCTTTTTACCGGGTTTAAAGATTGAGAAAATTGTCATGTATTTTCGTGAAATTTTTCTAATTTATGAGAAAAAAGCAGTGTACATGGATATAAAGAAGAGTGTGCGCAATGCCATTTTTGTGCAATTCTGGGATGTTTTTTTAAGTAAAAAATAAGTCGGCGTGTACATGGTTTATGTGTATGTGTTATTTTGAAAAACGCGTAAGGAGTATGGTATTGTGCACTTTTTCCCAATTTTGCAGTGAATATTTGTCATGATTAAGAAGTTTTGTTTGATAAAATTTCTAGCATAATTGTAATTTGGCTAGTAGATTGTTGGAAGAAGTGTTCAGTAGATAAAAAGAAAAGAAACATGTCTTTACTTCGTGAAGACAAAATGGTGGCAGGGAAAAAAAATAGAGGGTTTCTGTAGGAGAGTTGGTTGCGAAATTTTCGCCAAAAAATCACCAAGTTACCATAATGTAAAGATCAACCATTTTTATTTATGCATCAAAGAAATATTTAATAAATAACAAAAAGAGACTATATTGTTATTTATCTTCAAGTTTTGTCCCACTTAGTAAATGTTCTCAAAACAAAACAAAAAAAAAAAAAAAAAAAAAACTCATAATTTCAAGTTTATAATTCAAGTTTTAGTTAAATTAAAATAAGTTATTTAATGATTAATTAAAAATGTAGAATATCTGAAAGAAATGTCAGACTAAAAATTCATTATTTAACTACGACCATATTTGAATTACAAAGTGTAACCAACAAGAATGTCTTACAGTTGCCAAACTTCAGATGCCAGATAGAAAATACACAAAAATTTGATTTTTTCCTCCTTTTGCAATATTATTACCTGCCTTGTCTTGATAATTATTTAGTAAACAAATTAAAAATTTATTTTGTAAATAACAATTTTCATTTTATTAAAAAAAAAAATCTGGCCTGTCAGCTGTTTTCAGATTCTGCATTTGGCCTGCATGTAGTTTGAGTCTGAGAATACTGCTCTATGACGCAAAACCGTATAGAAAAAACTATGATCTTGGAAGTCCGAGTTTTTCTAAATGACCATAAAAGTGAACTCAACAGGAAGGAACTAGAACTCCAAAAATAAGAACAGAAGGTAGCTGGGGAAAATGTCTTCAGAAAAAGAGAAAATGCTATAATTTTTTATCTGTGATATTTGTCAAAATAGAATAAGGTGCAAAGTTTCAAGCAGTGATATTGCTCTGATAAAGCAGCAGTAAGCTACCACATCAGCTTTTCTAATGACAATGGTATGTCTCATTTTGGAAATATTTTAAAATGCAAATTACAACAATTACATGGGACAAATTTTGAATGAAACAGAGGCCTAATGGATTTAGTCATATGCATTATGAGACACAGAAAAAGTAAAAGAAGTGATCCCCCCCAAAACAGTTACCTGATGTTTTTATGAAAGAAGATTTCCATCTAAACATAGACATGACTCTTCTCTCCCTTTCTTAACACTTTCCACTAATGATGATGTTCACTCCTTTAAAAAATAATAGTAAAATTCGTTATTTAATTATTTTATTTATTTTTATAAAAATCTCCCCTCTCCTTAATCATTTCTTAAATAATATTGCTTCCTCTTTTAAAATTCATACTTTTGGATAACCATTTCTAGGAAATCTGAGATTTTCTTTTCCTCTAAATATTATTGGAATTGATCAATAAAAATTCAGAAAAATAACTATAAATTTTGCTTATAAGATTTTTTTCATTCATAACAGAAATTCAAAAATAATAGTTTTACTAACCATTTCCAAATAATACATCATGATATTGCATACTTACTCAAAAATAAATTATATTTAATATTTTTAAACCTTGATCAGTAATTACGACTAACCTGAAAGTGATTTTAACTAAATTTTCTTCTAGAATGCTGAAGTCTAATATTCAAGTAATTACCCAGTATAATTTGATATAAAATGCAAACCAAAGAATATTTAATTTGATCTGCTTTTAAAATCATTTACTTAGTAGTCAAAAGCATAATGAAGCACTGAATGCTGCAGTTTTTTTTATTATTTATTAATTACTTGCCTAATTAAATTAAGACACTGCTTCAATTTGCTAGACTACAATACTTCATTTGTTACAAATTTTCATTTAAATACTTCCCATGACATAAACTTAAGATGATCATCATGAAAAAAATACACATGGACTAACTTCCTAGTTTTATTTAACAACTTAAATTCGAGAACGCATAAGTTGAGTATGATTTTACATACCATAAACATCGTCGACAAGACACGACATCACTTTCAGCAGCAACATGTGTTGCTATATTTAGGATGCTACGCAAGGTTCTTTAATATACTACGATGCTACGATTTCATAACCGCAAAATTTCGTTTTCCTTGTTTGGCTTCTTATTTCTGCATTATACTGTATTTTAAAAGCATTGTACTGTATTTAACTGTATTTCTGCATTATACTGTATTTAAATACTGTATTTTTAAAAAGGTAACAGAAGCATTAAATAAGCATAAATAAAAATTTTAATCTGAAATAACATTTTCACATATATACACATAATGTTTCAATATTTATGTTTCCACTGCAAAAAACGTTGTAAAATAGTACACATCTAGAAATAAGTGTGAACAGTAGCTAGTTGTTTTATGTAGATCAAATGAGCGAAGTAATTGATTAATACATACACGAAATCGGATCCAAAAATAATTGTCATAAATGCATATTACTTGACTTTTAATACTAATTTAGCTAGATAACAAAACCAAATAAGCAATCAATTACCAAACAAAAATATATACTTCCTAATCCCACTTTTCGTGGCCCACATGGGAAATCGGTCTAAAACTCTGACTGCCGTACCGAAGGGCTTAGGTTCGAATCTTGGAGAAGGCATGGATGTAAATTGTCTGTCCCTTTGTAGAAGGCAATGTGGCCCACAATGATGTTTTCGAAACCTTCACAAGTGCATATCTGTGTAGCCACCGAGGGAGTGGCTTCTAGGATGGACCAATGGGCTTCCAGGGATATTCTTGGGAGAACAGCCTTGAGGCCAAAAAGGCAGAAACAACTTATTAAAAAAAGCTAGAGCTGCTAGAGATATCTTTAATTAAAGCTATGGTTGTCATCCGATGACGTACTTCCTCTAGAAAGACAGCCGCGATACTTTTCCTTAGAGCTACTAGAGATATTATATATAGTAGCCTTACCTTTCCTCTGCTAAGGGATTATCCGTAGTAGTAGATCGAGGTACGTATTCGGAAAATATCGTTACGTTTTCTTTCGTATTTCTCGAGTGTCAATATTTAGAATCATCCGGTATTGTTCTCCGAAGAATATCCGATGATTCTAAATCTTGACACTCGAGAAATATAATACGATCTTCTTCGTCGTCGTTTACCTCCTTCTGGTTCTCTTCTGTGCTCTCCCCTTTAGGCTACGTTTCAACTTAAGGCTCCTCTAAATATATGAGCCTTATTTCAACTGAATGAGGCCTAAAATTACCCTCTATCCTTTTGCGGTGTGGTGTGTGTGGTGGTGTATTTAATTATGGCAAAGCACACTAGGGCTATCTGCCTAAGAGGAGGGATGCCTTTCGTGGAGGACTTTCTAAGGGAAACTGGCTCGTATACACGTTACACATGGGGAAAACCACGAAAACACCCATGCAGCCAGCCCGTTCGCGGGATTCGAACCTCGGACCGAACTACCAGTGTTCAGCGACTTTACCGCTCGGCCGCTGGTGGGCCCCTCTATCCTTTTGCACCTAAGCTTTATTTTTCCCTCTGCGCGCTAAAAGACGTTTCGAGTGCAAAAGAAGACTTTTGTTTACTTATCTGCCGTTGGTATAGCGATGGTGAGTGTTTTGAATATTGTGTATGAGCCATGCGCGTTTTGTTATAAGAAAAACAACTCTTAACCGCTAATTAAGAATAAATAATATTAATTCAGTGACCCTATCGTGGGGGAACTTCCCTTCCCTGCGCTAGGCAATCTTTCCGCATGTAAAACCGCTATCACGTGTTCTAAGCTATACGGAGGAGCGCCAAAGAATATGTATTAATGAATATGCTTTGGGAGCCCTTCAAAAGAGTAATGTCTCTTGCATGGGGACGCGGCTAAACTGGAGATTACGGGCCAGTTGCCAAATAGAAATCCTTTTCGGCTTCTATTTTCGAAAGAGTCGTTTGTTTTCCAATTTCAGGTTGTATTGTTCACTCACGCAAGCATTTCAGAAAAATCGTTTCGTTTTTGACGCCAACCAAGATCGTCGCCCGGAGGGATCGGCAGCAATTTCAAAACGGCCACTACACAAAACCAAAATAAGAAGTCAAAGACTTACTCAAACTTGGTGTTCATGTACACATCGACCAATTTTCACTTTAAAAAAACATCAGAGAATTGCGCAAACTAGGCATTGTGTACTGCCTTAACTTTGTCCATGTACACATCGACCTATTTTCACTTAAAAAAATTCAGGTAATTACACAAACTAGGCATTATGCACTACCTTAACTTTGTCCATGCACACATCGATCCATTTCACCTAAACAAAATCAGGAAGCTAAGAGAAGTTAAAAAAACTATCATGATAACCAGAAAAAATTCGCCGCTATTCTAATACACAGAGACAAACAAAAAAACCAAAAATACATAACAGAAAGGAATAAATAAACATATTTCCTTACATAAAAACATTAAACAATAAATATTTTATCAAAAATTAATGCATAGAGATGAATAAGTAAATCAAACGTCAATTTTTTAACATACCTTTATTCACATGCATACATTTAGGCTTCCCACCATCATCTATTTTAGCTTTTTACAAAAGAGTGCAGCGGGCTTCCATATTTCATGAACAACCTATACCGCTTGGCGATTTTTTTCAGGAAAAAAAAAAAAAAAAAAAAAGGGTAAGATGCAGTAAAGATTAGCCAAATCTGTTTAACCACTTTTTGTTTTTTTGCTATACTATGGCTTATGTTTCATTCGATTGAAATTTTGAATTTTATCTTCATTTTTCTTCTGCATTTTTATAAAGTTTTAGCTCATATAATATATAAATAAATATTTTCCTATTATTTATTGCTCATTTACAGCTTATTACAATTTCTTAAATTTTGTGATAAAGTGTTGTACACCTTTTTGCTACTGTCTTTATGATATTATGAAAAGTCTTAATATTATTGATCCCATAAAATACATAGTTATTAACTTTTAGATACTTTTTTGTTGTTTTTCTTAAACTTCTGTTTTAAATAAAAATTCTTTGCATGTTTACAGGATTATTCAAAATTGCAGCCAAATATGACGATTTGATGAATTAGTGATTTTCTTAAACATGTGAAAATAAACCATTTGGCAAAATGGTGATTTTTCGAACACCCACAAAACTGGCCCATAATATTCAGTTTTACCCAGTGTTCCATAGTAATTTATGAATTATTTATTTTAAGAATAGGATGTCCATTTAATATATAAACATAACTATGATTATAGCAGTCAGTTAAATCAGTAATGGCCAAATTCTGCCTGCATGGTGACAAATTTAAAACATGTTGTGGATTTATATAATCAGACATTTCATATGTGTATATCTTTCACTTTGTGATTTTCTGATACCTGCCACTCCTACAAAAAGTTGCTGGCTTACTGGTGAATTTGTGAATTGGCAAAAACATTTCCTTAGCTAATTTTATGGCTCATAAATACTGTTCTGTCCTTGAACAATAATTAAAAATGCATAAAAAACATTTATGACAAACATCTAAGATCTATATGGTTGATATATACATCTTCACAATCATTTATAAGTCATGTTTATACCATACGTATGATAAAAATATGTATTATGCCAAAAACAAAATGTGTACACTCTTTAGTATCTGTGCTCATCAATTATTTTTCTGTTATGTCAAGCAAGTCATCGGTGAAAACATAAACACCTTTTAAATCTCGCTTGACTTCGTCTATAAAATGTTGAAAAGTTGTGGATGGATTACATAAGCCGAATTGCATACGGGTACGTTCGAATAAACCGAATGGTGTGCGTATGTCGGTTTTGTGAATGTCGGCGGGGTTGATTGGTACTTGATGATATGCCTTGATCAAGTCACAGGTCTCCATTCTAAATTTTCCTTTTTTGGAACTGTGTCAAATGCGGATGCATAATTGTTTCTTGACGGTCTTAAATCCCCTAGTTGCATCATAGTTTGAAATTCTTGCTTTGCTATTTTTAAGTGATCTGTGACTAATCGACGAGGCTTCACAACGACAGGTGGACATTTGTTATGGTATGAGGAACAGTGTTGTGTTTAACAGGTTGGTTAGGATCTGGTAATTTAGTAATGGAAGGAAATTTTTTAAAAATTTTGTGATAAGGTGTATCACTGAAGACAGTTTGGTAAAAGTATATTTTAGGGTACCCCTTGGCGATTTTTGGTGGTACATGGATACCGAGTTTGTACAATTTTTTGACTTATTTTGGCCTACATAGAGGCGATTTTTGGCCAAAAATTGCCTCTACGCAAACCAAAATAACAAGTCAAAGAATTGCACAAACTCAGTATCCATGTACACATCGACCTATTTTCACTTAAAAAAAAATCCTCGAATTACACAAAAATGACATTATGCACTCCCTTTATCCATGTACACATAGACCTATTTTCACTTGAAAAAAACATCAGAGAATTGCACAAACTATGCTTTACGTACTCACTTGAATTTGTCCATGTACACATCAATAAATTTTCACTTAAAAAGTCAAAGGAGCACCCAATTCTACAGTAGAGGCAAACAAAAAATACATAATCGAATAAACTATATTTTAAACCAAATAATAAAATAACACAAAAAAGGAAAAACCTGTTATGTATTTTAGCACTACACAAAGCAAATATTCTCTTCCTTGTTTAGAAATTCGTTCGTCTTCAATCTGAGGCACACAAAATTCCTTAACAGCATCCAAAAACATCCTAAAATTATCTGAACTACAATCCGTATATCGCCATTACCACAGAAATTCACAAAAATAAGACTCAAAAATATACTACATAGTTCCAGACTATGGCTACTAAGTAAACCTTCATTTACACCCAGTCAATTAATACACTTTTTCCCTTTACGTTCCAAATTGTACAGAAACTTCAAATTAATCCTACTTCATTCAGCCATTGTACCGTCTAAACAATGAAACAAGCAATGTACTTCCTAAGCAACACACACCACAAAAGCCTTTGCAAAACATCCTATGATTCAAAATTTCCCAGAATTATACGAACGATTATGTCATAATAGGGTTTCCATAACATCCAACTCCTCAGGTTACCATAAATAATACAACAACTTGCCGATAAATGAAACAACAACTTCGCAATAATACAAGGGGTACCTTAAAGTCATCTCTAACCGACAGTTTTAACTGAATAAATATCTGCATTTTTCAGGCAGCCTACAGTCTGAAACTTTGTTTTTAAATCTTTGAGACATTTTTTCCTAAGATCAGATACCAATTCAAAGAATTGGAGGAAATCTGCTCCAAGAATGGGTGTACTAACATTTGCTGTAAGAAAAGTCCAGGTAAACCATTGTCTTTATTTTGAAATCCAAGGAAAGTGTTTTTTGACCATAAACATGGATAGTTGAAGAATTAGCAGTGAGAAGTGTTTGTTGAGGAGAGTTTCATTTTCGTGAATTGTTTGCCGGAAGTAAGGACACGTGAGAGCCGGTATCCACCAAGAATGAAACGTTTGTTCTCCGGTCACGAGCAAACAGCCGATGTAAAATTTGAGGCAATTTTTTTTTGTGTAAATTTTGATACCCTTTAGATCATAATTGCTCTTTATTTCATAAAATTCTCTAAGATTTCTAATTCTCAATAATTCTAATTCTAATTCTCTAAGCTCAATTGATGGTACTAATTCAGAAGTCAAACAACAAAAATCAGCGTTATACCTACAAAATTTTCACAGGGCTAGTTTCGATGGTTTTACCGAACCATCATATTCAGCTGCAAAACCGCAAATGAACAAGATAGGAAATAATGATTAGATAAGATAAGAAAGCCTGGACAAGAATAAGCAAGTGGCGCCATCTGTTGGCGAAACCAGAACTAAAACATAATTTCTCTAAAAGCCGAAGGCAAATTTGGATTGGAATTAGGATCGTTAACTAGAACAGAAAGATTTTTATGAATGTGAAATGCCTCTAGAAAATCCAGTTCTCCAATGGAAGATGTTTTTTGAATAATTTTGGCAGCAGAAAAATTGAAAGTGTGATTTTCGGACCAACAATGTTGAGCAACAGAAGACCTCTGTGTTTCCTTTTTTCTAACATATGCCTCATGTTTCTTTGATGCGAAATTTTAAGGCTCTCTTAGTTTGGCCAATGTAAATTAAACCACACTGGCAAGGAATCCTATAAATACCCCAGGAATTCATATCCGGAATGGGGTCCTTGAGTATAGAAGTTGGAATTTTATTGATGGGAGAAAAACAAACCCGAAAGTTAAATTTCTGCAAAATATGTGCAACTTTATAGCTAATTGATGGAAAGAAGGGAATGACAACAGAATTTTTATAATCTCCTAAAATAAGAGTGTGGCTTTTAGTGTGTTGAGATGAGAATTTTTTAACTGCTTGATTAATAATGTTGGGTGAAAAGCCCCTGTCAATAGCTATTGCTTTTAAATAATTTAGTTCTTCATCAAGGGCTAGTTTGGAGGAGCAAACTTGAAGAGCACGGAAAACATAGGAATAAAATGAAGCTAACTTTTGTTTAGTCGGATGACATGATTTAAAGTGTGGTGGAAGGCAAACCGATGAAGGTTTACGGTAAACTGTAGTACTGAAG